CCTCTCCGGGGGCTGCGGCCGCGAGGGCTGGGCGGCGGCGGCCAGCAGCAGGCAGAGCGGGGCCCAGGCGCCCGCGCCCCTCATGGCCGGTGGAGACGCTCGGGGCTCGCCCCACCCCGGCGCGCACCCCGGAGCACCGCGCGCTCCGCACCGGCCCGGACTACCGCCCCGGCGCTGCCCGCACCCCGGTAAGCCCTCTCCCGCTCTCTCGCACGCGCCGCCGCGGGGCAGCCCAGGTAGCCGGGCGTGCGCGGCAGGCGGGGCCGGGCGCTCTTCTAGAGGCGATTACGGTGCAGTCGGCCTCGCCGCTTAACTTCCCCTGAGGAGTTGCTCTGGCAGCCACAGGCCACTGCTGAATATCCCGTTTGTTCTCCGGCGGCGAGAGGGGGCGGCTCCCAGGGCGGAGCCGCCTCCTCTCTCGGGGCGGGCGGGGGTGGCGGGCGGCTCCTCGCTGGCACCCCGGGACCCGCACCCCGCTCACATCCCTCGGGCAGGGGCTGTGGAGAGAAGGATGAGAGGGAATCCCCTGCCGCGTGGTACCCAAATGGGACCTGGCGCCCTGATCCACAGATGATGGTGTGGGAGGGGGGATTGGAGGGGGGTAGCCTTGGTTTAGTTTGCTTTGGCGAGTGTTTTTCTCTAGTTGCTTTCAAATAAAAAGTATTCTCCCTTGCTGATTGCTGGAAAAGAGGGTTCCTCCTTCCGACATCTAGATCCAAAGAAAGAAAAGAGAAAATAGAAGAGAGATTCTACTATATTTTAACCCCTCCTCTAATTCTCTTTACACACACAGAATCTCAGTAGATTCTTTTTGCTTTTACTGGTGTGTGAGAACAGGGAGATAGGTTCTGTCCGGGAGGCGGGGGGCGGTTTAGAAGTGAGTTTTCAGCCGTGTGATTAGTGAGTGACTTGTCGTTACCGTGACAAATAACGGAGACAAACTCCGGATCTTCAGCTCTCACCACCCCATGTTACGTCCTGAGAATAGCGCTTCTTTGCTGGCGCCTCTCTCTTCTTCAAAGATCTTTTCCAACGATGCCTTTTTCTGTAGTATTGATTAGTTGAGATGTACAGAGAATTTGTTTTTCTAAGAACAACTGCAGTCTTATGGAATCAAGGCTTTCTTTATTTTAATTAATTTTAATTAAAAATAATTTAAAATATTTATTTTGCTAAGTGCTTCCCAATAACCAGGGATTAATAAAAGAAAAACAAGAATGGAATGGAGTCATTGGGTTTTTCAATGACCACGTCACCACAAGGGGATATAGCTGAATTCAGATGCCTCGTTAGTGTTGTTCCTCCTAAAGTATTTTCATCATTCTGAGCAAAAAAAATAAGCCTTAAAATTATCCTTATCAAGACTTCATTTCTTTCTTTTTTTAATTAATTAATTTATTCATTTATTCTTGGCTGCATTGGGTCTTCATTGCTGGGAGCATGCAGACTTTCTCTGGTTGCGGCCAGCGGGGGCTACTCTTCGTTGGGGTGGGGGAGCTTCTCATTGCCGTGCCGGGCTCTAGGCACGTGGGCTTCAGTAGTTGTGGCACACAGGCTTAGTTACTCCACGGCATGTAGGTATCTTCCTGGACCAGGGCTCGAACCCGTGTCCCCTGCATTGGCCGGCAGATTCTTAACCGCTGTGCCACCGGAGAAGTCCCAAGACTTCATTTCTAACAATGAGCCTACAGTGTTAAGAACATAAATACTCCAGGCAAGGAAATAAGCAACAGAGAATGGCGGCAGAGAATAATCTCACTTTTTAAAGGAGAGGAATCCAGGAGTCAATAGTAGGAACCAGAATTTCCCTTTGGGGTTTAGATTTTCTTACTAGTTTTGAAAATGCGAAGGAAAAAAAACACCAAGAATTACAACTTGTTAAAATTTTCTGAAGGCACCACACCCTGTATGACTTAAAAAAAAAAAAAAAAGGATTACAGAATTTGGCAAACTACATTATATGCTGAAACCTACACCCTCAACCCAATAAATTGTTTTAAAAGAGCAAATAGGAAAATAAATGATTGTTTATTTTGCACACATTTCAAGAATATGCTGTCCAACAGCATACGTATTTTAGATGATATTTTATTAAAAAGTCATAGTTTTAAATTACGAAGTGAAAATATTGCTTAATTCACTTTCTGGTAATGATTTGAAGTGATCATAGCCAGCAAATACTTCATTCTTCAAAACTAAGCTAAGTTTTCAAAATTTAAAATTAAAAAACAAAGTGTGAAATATGACCAAATGGATAGAAAACTATTTGGACATAAATATGCAACAACTCTTTTCTTAATTTACAGACTGATGACTGCGTTTATATCCTCACTAAAAAGTTAGGGTTCTAACACTGATAGTTCTGTTGTTGTTAAGACACTGATGTTACCATGTGATTTAAAAAATTTACTAAGACATTATTATTTGCTCTTAGAAACGCATATTTATCTTGGAACTACTGTTCTTTTTGGAGTATAATTGCTTTACAATGGTGTGTTAGTTTCTGCTTTACAACAAAGTGAATCAGTTATACATATACATATGTTCCCATATCTCTTCCCTCTTGCGCCTCCCTCCCTCCCACCCTCCCTATCCCACCCCTCTAGGTGGTCACAAACGACCTAGCTGATCTCCCTGTGCCATGCGGCTGCTTCCCACTAGCTATCCACCCTACGTTTGGTAGTGTATATATGTCCATGCCACACTCTGACTTCATCACAGCTTACCCTTCCCCCTCCCCATATCCTCAAGTCCATGCTCTAGTAGGTCTGTGTCTTTATTCCCATCCTACCCCTAGGCTCTTCATGACATTTTTTCTTTCTTAGATTCCATATATATGTGTTAGCATACAGTATTTGTCTTTCTCTTTCTGACTTACTTCACTCTGTATGACAGACTCCACGTCCATCCACCTCACTACAAATAGCTCAATTTCGTTTCTTTTATGGCTGAGTAATATTCCATTGTATTTATGTGCCACATCTTCTTTATCCATTCATCTGTTGGTGGACACTTAGGTTGCTTCCATGTCCTGGCTATTGTAAATAGAGCTGCAATGAACATTTTGGTACAAAGTTCTGATCAAAATTATAAAGCTTAAATGTCCTGAGAAGCTTAATGTGTCAAAATTGAGACACACCCAAGTGGACTCTGAAGGTTTGTGTAAGGTCCATTTCTCTGAGACCAATTTCTGGACTTCAGAGATGCAGCGTTGGTATAATGGTAGGGAGCTGCAAAACTCCAGGCACTAGGAAAGGAGAGAGGTGGAGAGAACCAAACCCCTACGGGTGCAGCGTGGTAAGTGAAGTGATCCTTGTTGTCCAAAGTATATATTACCCAGTCTCTGCAGTTAACTAAGTTGCACAGAGACTCAAAATCATGGGAATACAAGAATACTCACCAATGAACTGACCACTTATAAAATTAGACCCCGCTCATAGTACTTTGTTGCATAATATTAGCACCTAGCTGGGCCCAGTATGTCAACATCTTTGTTGGTTAGTCACTGGTCAATTCATCAACCTTGTAAACATCTGAAAATGCAACATAAATACAATGCACATTTAATCCATGGTGCAGTACTGATCTTGTAAAAGATCCAGAATCTCATAAGATGGATGCAAGTGATATAGAAAGAAGTGGAGGAATGATGGACTTCTTTGACAAATGAACACCTGGATGAATTACTCCAGTGAACAACTGAAGGAAAAATACTAAGGTCGCTGACCAGAAAAGAATGATTTTTAATGCCAAAAATATTAAAGAGATGCCCATGTGAACAATTGATTCCCTATGCTACTTTTTCAAAAGTAACATTCTACTTTATGATGTTGTGAAAATCAAAGGTGAAGGGAAGAATGTTTATATTTTGCTCGACTGTAATTTCGTAGGGAAGATTGTGCTAAAAAAATCCAGATTTGATTCATTCTTTGTTTACTGTAATTGACACATAGCTGCAAATATAGATGAAATTTTGTTAAATACAGAATAAATTTAACTTAAAAAATTTCAGCTTCATTTTTGAAGGTAAAACCCTAAACACTTTTTTAATATCTGCTATGAAACTTTGGAACCTGTTTTAAGTAAGTGGCCTTTTCCAGTACAGTAAATCTCAGGTATGGATTCATTCAAAATCTCAGATAGTTTTTCCAACTATCTTGAAAAGCACCTGAGCAACAATCCAGGGACTGCATCAGGTTGAGGGGGAGAGGCCGGGAGAGGACATAATGGCGGACTGGGCTCTATCCCTGGATCCCTCCCATTGTTCTTTTAGAGGCACGAGCCATATCTGGAACTCAGGTGTAGGCTGTGCTTCCTTGAATGTAACACTGCTCCAGCTGTACCACATGGGTCTCTAGATTTACAAGTGCTCCAAATGTATAAAAGGAATGAAAAGTATCTGGAAAGCAAATAGTGTGGAAATTCTTTTATGCAGCCCAACTTAGTGACAATACTGTTCGTGACATTTCCATAACATGTCGTTCTGCAAAACTATCAAACTGGAATATCCCCATGTTCTTTTACCTAGGAAAATACAATAGTGTAGAGTTATGATATTAATACTTTACTGATGAAGTGCCTTTTCTGAATTCAGCTTTTCAGATACTATCAACTTTTAGGAACTCTGTAATCTTTGAATTCTTGTGCGCAGGTCTATCAGTAGATACTCTTGTGAACAAGGATTTTTAGAATTAAAAGTTAGTTCGAAAAAAAAAGTTCAATATTTTTTATAACTTTATTTATTTATTTATTTTTATAAATTTATTTATTTTATTTATTTATTTTTGGCTGCATTGGGTCTTCGTTGCTGTGCACGGGCTTTCTCTATTTGTGGCGAGCTGGGGCTACTGTTCATTGCGGTGCACGGGCTTCTCATTGCAGTGGCTTCTCTTGCTGTGGAGCATGGGCTCTAGGTGTGCGGGCCTCAGTAGTTGTGGCACGTGGGCTCAGTAGTTGTGGCTCGCAGGCTCTAGAGCGCAGGCTCAGTAGTTGTGGCACGCGGGCTTAGTTGCCCTGTGGCATGTGGAGCAGGGAGCAGGGATCGAACCCATGTCCCCTGCATTGGCAGGCGGATTCTTAACCAC